GGGAAACAATAGGAAATATATTTCAATTACAGCAGGAGAGACATTGTTGAGGTTATCTTTTCTATTTCTCAATCTTTCTGAAGATGTTGACATTGAACCTGTTCCTTTCTGAACAAACCTCCTTTCTACATATTTTTAAAGTTAACTTAAAAACACAAGTACATATAATTGGGATAAAATTTAAAAGGCACAAGAGGATATGCAATGAAACGCCTCCTTCCTACTCCTGTCTCCCAGCCTCTGAGTTTTCCTTCCCAAAGGTAACCACTGTTTCAAGCAAATGCTGTGTGTATATTTTTGTGTGAGCCTTCTGTACAATTCATCTGTGTAATGGCTTAGCATGTGTGTTGTACTATTACTCTTGTGTTAATGCTGTATGTTAGTAGAGATTATTCCATGTGGGGGGCATACAAAATTATTTTTTTCTAATAAAGTTTGTATAGCATTCAATTATATGGATAAAGTGTAGTTTATTTAATCAGTTTCTTATTGACAGATATTCAGCTATTTCCAGTCTTTTGCTATTTCAGGAAATGCAGCAATGATTATCCCTGCACATTAAAAAAAATGTTTGAGTGTACCTAAAATTTAAATTCCTAGAAATGAATTTAAATATTGTCAAATTGCTTGCTGGAGGGGTACCAATATATATTCTCATCAGTAATTCACGAGAGCGCCTGTTTCCCTCACACCTCCACATTTTTTCCTAGAACGTAGCCTGGTATCATTACCTGCATGTTTTTAAATGATGACTTGTGTTGATGATAGTAACACAGGAACTTTCTTACAAGCTAAGCGATTGAATTCTAGAGCACGCTATCTGGAGCACTGAAGTCCTCTATTTAAGATAGCTAAGAATTAAACACCTTTGTGTTTTATGCCCAGAATAGTTTATTACAATGTAGAGTGATTTTCTTTTTTCTTCGGTACGCGGGCCTCTCACTGTTGTGGTCTCTCCTGTTGCGGAGCACAGGCTCTGGACTCGCAGGCCCAGTGGCCATGGCTCACTGGCCCAGCCGCTCCGTGGCATGTGGGATCTTCCCGGACCGGGGCACGAACCCATGTTCCCTGCATCGGCGGGCGGACTCTCAACCACTGCGCCACCAGGGAAGCCCTAGAGTGATTTTATAATAAAGAAAAATGGGAAAATCCTGAATGTCCATCTAGTCTGATGGTTCTCAAAGAATGGTCTGCAGATAACTTGCAGCAGAATCACATGGTGGGTGGGGGAAGGGCTTTTGAAAATGCCGATTTCTAGGACCACCTCAAGCTTATGAAACTTGAAATCTCTGGGGGATGGGCCAAGTTCTCACTGGTGACCCTTATACTCACTCTCATTTGGAAACACTGCTCTGTCATTAAGGTAGGACAATTTGAAGGCAGACAAGCACTCTTACCGATTAACTTGTTTAAATTACAAAAGTGATAGATACATTTTCATTTTAAACATTTCAAAAGGAGAAATAAGCACAAAGAGAATTGTAATAAGTATACTGCTTCAAGCACTAGACATGAATTTGTCTCTTGTACATCTTCACAATCCTATGAGTTACCTTCTCCCCACCCATTTTACAGATGAAGAGACTGAGACACAGAGAGATTATTTTATTTTATTTTTGGCTGCGTCATGCAGCGTGCGGGATCTTAGTTCCCCATCCAGGGATCGAACCCGTACACCCTGCAGTGGGGGGCGTGGAGTCTTAACCACTGGACTGCCAGGGAAGTCCTGAGGTTTCATTTTAAAAACATGATATTGCTAATAAGTGGCATAGTCACAATTTAAACTTGTGTTTCTAAACCCTGAAGTTGAATTCCAGAGCACAACCCAGAAATAAATACGGACAAACACTGGATGTATGTTGTTTTATCCTTGTTTTTTTTCTCACGCACCTTACTTATGATTTCATCAGAGAAACCTTATTTATCCCTCCACCTAAGGTAGATAACCCATTTTTTTTCTCACTGTACCTTGGATACAATGGGTAGTAGGTAAAAGAAAATGGGTGGAGATGTAGAGAAGGAAACTTAAGCGAGATTTCTAAATATCTATTTATACAACATACTAGCTTTTCTTTTATATCAAAATTATCTTATAAGGTTGTACCAATTTACATTCCCACCAGCTTTGTACAGGTGAGACGTTTCTTCATATATTTACTATGCTTGATATTTCTTAGGTCCCCGAATATTGTATAGTCTCATTAGACTATGGAATATTTAGTGACTTTTTGTTTTGTAAAAAATGCTTTTGTTAATTAACATCAAGGACATGGTGCTAAGAAATGTTCTCTAAAATAACAGATTGGCAGAAACTTTGCTGTTTGAAATCAGTGTGGATGGAACACCCCATTCTTGCTGAAGGACCTGAGGCATACGGGTCATTTTGACACAGGATTTTAAATCCAGGTGCAAAGCTTTAGATAAGGAGTTTTCAGACCCAACATTCCACACTTATCTTTTTTTTTTTTTTAAATCATAGGAGTACTGTATTTTTTTAAATTTTATTTTTATTTATTTTTTATTTTTGGCTGCTTTTGCGTCTTCGTTGCTGCACGCGGGCTTTTCTCTGGTTGCAATGAGCAGGGGCTACTCTTTGTTGTAGTGTGCAGGCTTCTCATTGCGGTGGCTTCTCTTGTTGTGGAGCACGGGCTCTAGGCACGTGGGCTTCAGTAGTTGTGGCTCGTGGGCCCTAGAGCGCAGGCTCAGTAGTTGTGGCACACAGGCTTAGTTGTTCTGCGGCATGTGGGACCTTCCGGGACCAGGGCTCGAACCTGTGTCTCCTGCATTGGCAGGTGGATTCTTAACCACTGCGCCACCAGGGAAGCCCCACACTTATCTTAATTTTGAGATTTCTAAGGAAAGAGGACCCTGGGTCTACTTTTCAGCTCAGGCTTAGGCCTGATGTTAACACTTTTACAGACAGCTCTGCTCTGTTTCGAGCCTATCAAAACACTGCTTCATTTAAATTATACCACAACTCAACCCTTCCTTATAATCCAATAATGACCCTATTCTCTTTCGTTTGGTGAGATGTTTCAGTTTCCTCTGGAGTGCAGTCTCCCTCCCAGCAAGTTAAGAAATCTAACCTTCTGGACTATAGGTGTGTTCCTAGTGGTCTCTACTGGATGGCCTCATCAGTCTTAAACTGTAGGTCCTTATATGATCAGGCCAATCAAGATGACTGTTCTCTTGTCTCTGTATATACCCTGCTGGACCAGTACGTACATACTTCACCTACACCCTACTCACATGACTGACCTTCCTACCCCATGACCCAGCTAGTGATTGTTCTAATCTTTAGATCAGAACATTTCCCCCAGGATAGTTTATCAAAGGGGCGGTGAGGGGCATGCTCCTCCAATAGTTTCCCTGGTAACTGATAACCCAACCTGAAGTCAATTCCCCCTATAACTGGTAATCTCTCTCTCCCCCAGGTAGCAAAGACTGCTGCCATATCCTGCCCACTGTCTGCCACACATGGTGAGGTGTCGCTCCAGGACCTTGCTTCAGATGTGTAAGCTCCCCCTATCCATTAAACCTTTGATGTCTCTGTGGCTGACTCTGGGCTCTTTCTTTGGTCTTGAAGCTGGGCAAGTGCAGGGCTTGCAGGCCTACAGGGTGCAGCCCAACAGTCCTATATCTAAAGACAACAGGAAAAGTTCTACTCTGTATCCTTTGATAGATTCTTTTAAAAACAAGAGGGATTTTCGTCTACTTGTAATTTAGGTCCTACCCAACAAACTAGATTAAGAGTCATGATCATTTCTGCTTTCAGTTCCTCCAAATTGCAAGCCAGTTGGAGTTGACTGAAGAAAAACCACATAACCTAAAAGTTGTGAGCTAAATTTTATTCGAGGAGTTTACTGAGGACTATAGCCCAGGACATAGCCTCTCAGATAGCTCTGAGGAACTGCTCCAAAGAGGTAAGGGAGAAGCCAAGATATATAGGAGTTTTTGCTGAAACAAACAAAAAAACCATGTAGTCAAATGTAAAAAGATTACTGCTAATTGCAAAAAAACAGACATCTCAAGGTAATGATTTTAGTGCTTTTCTATGTATGGGAAGGTGCAATAATCTGGCTTATTGAAATTATTCCTTAGATATGTACCTTAACTACTTAGGGCCAGTATCCTGTTTTTCTCCACCCTGAATTCTCCTCAGGGCACACCATCTGGGTGGCTGCAGTGGTAAGGGCCTGATGGCAGGCAACATCCCCTGTTTACTGGAATAGAAGTCAACATTCTTTGTTTACTGAAATGGCAGGCAACATTTTGTGTGTGCAGAGTGGCTGTTTTCTCTGTGTGGAAAACTCTCCAGATGTGTGTGTGTGTATGTGTGTGTGTGTGTGTGTGTGTGTGTTTGCTCAGCTCAAAGATCACCTCCTCCAGCTTCTCCCTGACCTTTCTCATCGAAAGCGGCCATCTCTCCCCACACTTCTGCACTCCCACTCCATCACTCTATCCCCACTATCCTAACTTATCTTCCTTATTTTTCTTACCACTCTCTTGAAATTATCTTACTCAATTATTTGTTCATTACCTCCGTACCTTTGTATGGAAGCTCCAGGAGAGAAGGTACCACAACAGCTCTGATAGCTGCAGCACCTCCAGAGTCTAAAGCCCTATCTCGCACTTACTAAGTAAGCCCTCAATAAACATTTGTGGAAAGGATGGACAATTGAGGGGCTACATTGTACTTTATTTTCCTCCTTCCCCTTTAAACACCTTCCAAGTGGAACCACCTGGACTATAAATCCGGCAGGAACTGGGTAGAGGGCGTTCAGCCTCGCTATTGGCTGGATTATCTGTCGTTGCTCCTGGCAACCACTGTTCCCCACCAGTCGTGAGGTCGGCCCCTCCTGGACCCGTCCCTCTCCCTCCCGCCTTCGAACCACCGAGCTTCTGCCCAGTGGTAAAAACGGTGCTCGCCCTTTAAGCGGCGGGACTTCTGGTTAACGACGTCGGCGGCCGCCGGAAGGGGAAGTTTCGCTGCCGAATTCTCCCTCGCTCGTCCGAATTCGGTGGCGCCACGTCCGCCGGTCTCCGCGTTCTGCAACGGGGCTGGAGCGGCTTCCGCCTCGACACTTTCCACTCGCCCAGCGGACCGCGTCGTGAGGGGGCCGGGACGGGAGTCGGGCGGCTTTGCACATCCCGGCCACCGAAGAGGCGAAGATGTCGGACATCGGGGACTGGTTCAGGAGCATCCCGGCCATCACGCGCTATTGGTTCGCCGCCACCGTCGCTGTGCCCTTAGTCGGCAAACTCGGTCTCATCAGCCCGGCCTATTTCTTCCTCTGGCCCGAAGCCTTCCTCTATCGCTTCCAGGTATTGACCGGCGACTGGGGAAGTGGAGACTACAGGCCCCAGATGGCCCCGCAGCGGCGGAGCGTAGACAGGCTGGTTGCGGACGCGCGGTGCCTGGTGGGACTTGAAGTGCGGTGGCTCCAGCGGTTTAGGGCGGGGTCCTGTGGCCAGGGGGTAGGGTGGAGGCCAAGGGGTTTGAGCGTGGGCCTGGGTAGCTGGAGACGTGGAGGGAGACAACACGGTTTGGCCCGGTGGGAAGGGATTGATTTCGTCCTTCCATTAAAATTGTGCTCCCCGCCCACTGTACTCAGAGAAGGCGGCAGTGGGAAGGTAAGTCTGATAGTTGTCAATCTACTGGACGCCAGTGAGTAGCAGCCTGGGGCCACCTGGAGCAGCTGCCCTCTGACCTCCCTCTGCCACCCAAGTGGATGGCATGTGGACGTCGCCTTGCTCAACTACCAGCTGAGTTCTTTTTATGTTAATGGAGTTTCTCCCCAGTAGGAGTGATTTGAAGCCCGAGGTGCAAAGAGTGAGTTTGTGTGCATCCCAGATCCTGATCTAGTATCTGGCAGGTAGTAGTTGTATTTATGAAGGAGTGAATAAAGAGTAAATTGCTTCTGAAATGGAAGTCCTTATTTTTTGAAGCATGAAGGAAACAGCCCAGAGTAACATTCCTGGCAAGAGAATATTAGTTTTCTGGAGGTTATCTTTATTCACCGGATCCTGTGATTTAAATCTTTAATCAGTGGCAGGTCGGATACTAAGATCTGACATTAATTTCGACACGTTGTTTGGACTGTCGGTAACACACTCTTGTCTTCCCTCTCCTCACTGGCTGTTTCTTAGTTTTCTTTGCTGGTTCCCCATCTTCCTGATCCTTAAATATTGTGATGTACCCCAGGACCTCTTTTCCATATTCTCCCTAGCTGTGGGTGATCTCATGTAGCTTCATGTCTTTATATAATTTCTACAAACTGAAGATTCTCAAATACACATATACATATTTTCAGTCCAGATCTATCTCACTTCCAGACTTGTACATCCAACCGTATACTTGAAATTACCACTTAGATGACTGATAGACATCTCAGACATAATGTGTCCAAAACAATACCCTTTTCCCTAGAAGTAAATAGCAATTCCATTATTACAGGAGCTCAACCTAAAAGTCATGGACTCATCCTTGACTTCTTCTCTCACATCCCACAGTCTGTTAGCAAATTCTGTTTACTTTAGACAGATATCCAGAATGCAGTCCCTTTTCATTCTCTACTTCAGGCCATTATCATAGCAGCCTTGTTCCTTTCAGTCTTTTCTCCAGACAGCTAGAGTGACCCTTTTAAAACATAAATCACATCCTGGCAGCCTTCTGCCCAGAACCTTTTAATGTCTTCTCAACTGGATGAGTAAGGCTCAAGTCCTTTCAGTGGCCTTCAAGGCCCCTACTGCCTCTCTGACCTCATCTCCTACTACTTTCTATCTTGTATATTAGGCTCCACAGTGGAATCCTTTGTTTCTTCAGCACCTAACTCCATCCCTGCTCAGGCCCTTTGCACATGTTATTTCTCTGCTTGAGGACGATAACCGTGGTTTATCTCATTACTTCCTTTAAGTCTGCCCAAATGCCACCTTATTGGCAAGGATTTATTTGATTGCCCTATGTAAAATAGTACCTCTCCTTCACTCTGTCTCCCTTATCCTTAATTTTTCTTGGTTACATATCACCCCTTGATGTTTGTTAGCCTGCTTCCCTTCAGAGAATAAAGCTCCATGAGAGCCACTTGTCTGTTTACCACTGTCTTTGCTACCTAGATTAGTGTTTGGCATATAGCAGGTGCTTATATATGGGTTGAATGCATGGAAATAATTGGGTACTTGCCAGTGCTGGGCACTGGGGGTACAATAGTGAATAGTACAGAAAACGTCCCAGCTCACATAAAGAAAATAAGAGAGGGGTGTGTGACGGAGAGTGACTTTGATGAAGTGTTCCAGGAAGGCCTCAGAGAAGGTATTTGAACTGAAATCTGAATGACGAGGAGCCAGCTTTGGGAAGATCTGGCTCTGGGGACAATCTTCCAAGAAGAAGGAGTAATAAGGGAAAGGCTTAGAGGCAGGAATTAGAAACAGAAAGAAGACTGGATAGTTAGTACAGAGTCAGCTGTAGGGACGAGGATTGGTAGTTGAGGACAGAGAGATAGCCAGGGGTGAGTGCAATAAAGTGAAAGAGGAAAGGTAGGCTGGGGCTAGACTGTGTAGGGCTTTGTGGTTTGAACTTTAATTTGAAGGCACTAGAAAGGCTTCAGAGCCTTTTGAACAAAGAACTGAAAAATTGCCTTGGCTACTCTGTGGGATGGACTTGGTATGTGAATGGGGGAAAGGGTGGGCTAGGTAACAGGATCAGAGAGGTGAGTCAACTTAGAGGGCAAGAGAGATGGTGGTTTGGACCAGAGTGGCTGTGAAGATAGAAGTGGATAGATTTGGGAGTTGGAGTGGACTACACTGCAGCTTAATGGATGTGAAGGGGCAGGACTTGAAGATGTCACTGTTTTCACAGGAGCAGTGGAGTGCCTGGTGCAGCTTTTTTCTGAGATTGGGAATGTTTAGGGAGGCTTAGGTTTGGGGGTGGAGAAAGGTATCAATAAAGAGTTATATTTTGACCGTATTAAGTCTAGAGAGGCTTTTTAGGCATTCAGGTGGAGAAGTTAAGTAGGCAGTTGAGTATTAGAATATGATCTGGGTGTGCAGCCAGAACTGCAGACTCTTTTCTATTTGCTTTGGTAAAATATTTGTTGCAGTGAATGTTGTGCACTTTGTGCCCTGTGGCATGTTAGGTAATGCGGTGCCTCAGGAGCAGTGGTCATAAATGATTGTAAATCGTCAATGGTCGTCAATGAGAAGGTCCTGGTCAAAACTGGCTCTTTGGCCCTCCTTGCAAAATCTTGCTTGTTTCTGTAGTCAGCTTAGTAAAAGTAAGTCTTTCTAATAGCCTACATGTGTATAATATTAAAAGTGGTGAACTGATTAGAAAGGTCATCATTCATGTCACACCTTCCATAATGTTCCCATCTTCCTTGCATTGTTTCTTGTGGGCTTGTTATCCTGAAACGGGGGAGAAGCTGCTGGTAGAAGGCAGGACAGTGTGCTCACTGCCCGGGTGTGGAGAGACCAGTATCTATGCTTTCTTTCTGCTACTCTGACTCCTACTCTTTCTGAACAGGTTTAGCTTTCAGACCCACCTGGAAGAACTCATTTGCAAATGAAGCAGTTAAAGGAAAAACTGCATCTGAGAGGCTGATGGGTGAGGACACACAGCCTGTGGTGTGCTTTCTGCTAGAGGCTCCTCTTTTCCTTAAAAGCTGCATCTTTGGACAGCTTGGAAATGATCAATTTAGAATTGTGTATTCATGCTGGAAGTGACAAAAGTTACTTTTCCTCCTTATCTGTGGGTTTCCTCTGATTAGCTTGTTGGTTTGGAACTCTAAAGTTTAAAATGTTATTTCCTTAGTTTGGGTAAGTGGAAAGGCGTAGGTGTATGTTAAGACTCACTCCACTGTTGCCTAAAGTTCCTCATCCCTCACATTTAAGACTCATTGATCAGATAGTACACAGTGATGAAATGCCTCCATATTGGTCCCTGATTAACGAGAAGAGAGGCTGCACTTTGCTGCTGCCCTCGTGGTTTCTGAGATTATGTCTCCCAGGGCTGCCCGCACGGGAGATTTCGTTTCTTTGGACAAACTAACATCACTGCCTTACATCTGTGTTGGGCTTCTCCATATGATACCTCACTTAACCCCCATAAACATCCCGAGGTCAGCGTTACCCCAGTTGATAGACAGCTGCAGTTTCAGCTTCTATTTTGGTGAGTTCAAGATAGTTGTAAGCGTTCTTGTTTCACTCTTGCGTCCTATCTACCAAAACACATAGTTAAGCGTTTAACGAAACATTCTTGAGGGTGATTTCTTTCAAACCAGTCGTAGCAAATTATTGTTCATTTTCTATTAGAGTAGAAAGACTGTGGGATTTCAAGTAGTTGAGTCGTGGTCTCCAGGCCTGGCTTAGCCCCCTTGCAAGCTGTATGCCCTCAGGCAAGCTGTTTATCCTTTCTGAGCCTCATTTTCTCCACCTAAAAGTGGGGATAATTTAATACTATATTAACTCTTTTCTAAGAGTTAACTGTGTTGTAACTCCATTGCTTATAAGATGCTCCTTTAATTTAATACAATTTTTTGGAAGGGGAGGAAAGTACAAATTACGTTAAATGAATATATTGATGGTAAGGCACGTCCGAATTTCAGGAACACGAAAATGAGTATCTTCAAATTGAGAAATGTTACCTACTTCATGCCTCTGTTATATAAAAACATAAAAAATGTAAGGGGCCCAGTAAATAATCTGGTAGATAATCTATTAAAAACACAGTGCCTATTTTTCCTTATTAGTCAATAATAATTCCTGCCATTGCTGCCTTCTCTCCTTGGGCAGTAATATTCTAATTTTAATTTTTAATTGAAATTAAAACGTAACTGCTGGATTATTATCCTTCTTTTTGTCCCACTAAAGGCATCCTGACTAGAAATGGGAAGATATGTACTCTCAATTTCTCTAATTTGTTTCCGGGAACAAAAAGAAATGGCACCAACCAAGTCTGTGACCAGGCCTGGTGCTTATATTTGCCAAGCTTTTGCTCATGTTGTCACATTTAGCCTGATGACAGCAGCCCTAGCAGACTCATCTGAGTGTGTTGGGAAAGAGAGTCATATAGACCCGTAACTGGAAGGGGAATGAACTTGGTCTGTGGGCTGAGCATAGAAGTAGCCTCAGGGTTTGGATTTAGAACTTTATGGCAAGTGTTCTGGTATGTACAACTTTAAAATCTTTCCTTTGCAATCCTGTCCACATAAGACAGTTCTGCTGTGGTCTGTAGCTAAGGGTGAGCTCATAGCTTCATTTTTAAACTTTTTGTTGAGTTGCAGTATACAAGCAGGAAAGTGTATGTATTATATATTTATAGGTTGTTGAATTTTCAAAAACTGAATGTCAGTATATAACCAGCCACCAGATCAAGACACAGCCAGCATCCCCAAAACCTGCCTACTGCTCCCTTCTGGTCACTACCCACTGCAAGGGTAACTACTGTCTTGACTTTTAATACCATAGATGGTTTTTGCCAGTTTTCTTACTGTTCTATAAATGAAATTATACAATATGTATTTTTTTGTGTCTAGCCTCTTTTCAACAGTTTGAGAGTCACCCACATTGTTGCATGTGGTTATAGATGGCTCATCCTTATATTGTTCCCTTGTGTGAACAGACCACCATTTATTTACCCTTTCTGCTGGTAATGGGCTTTTGGGGTAGTTCTAGCTTTGGCTAGAATGCGTAGTGCTGCTGTGAACATTCTGGAACACGTCTTGGTGAACGTAGGTATGCATACGTACCTAGGAGTAGAATTGATGGCTCCTAATAGCTGGTTTAACGTCCTCAGTTGAGACTGAGTGCCTTTCATTTGATCTTCTTGCCTGTCTAGTGTCCCCCCAGCCCCACCCCCCGGCTCCTCTCCCCCACACCGCCACCTCCTGCCAAAAAAAAAAAAAGAGAGAGAAAAGCCAGAGTTTGCTAACATCAGCGTTTGGCACATGGGTGCTCTTCTCTCTTACTTGCTTGATGACCCAGGCAGACTTTCTTTAACTCCAAATCAGCCCGTCTGTATTGCAGAAAAATCTTTGTTTTTGATAGTTAAAAAAACCTGCCCTAGACTCTGGGTGGCGTTTGTAATGATTTCAGTAGCACATTGTTTGGGAGATTTTCGTTGAAGGATGGTTGAACTAAACACTCAACAGAAGTTGTCGGACTAGCAGCTGACGACGAGCAGTGTCTGATGTTTCTTTGAAGGCCTCTACGCCAGGGAGCACGTGGGCTTCTTGCTCTTGTTAAGTGAGGAACTCTGGGAGGGTTACCTCAACTCTAATGAGGGCCCAGCTTTCCTCGTGAAAAGGTGGGTGATTATGCTTCTGGCCTTGGGATTGCTGTGGGGTTAAAGTGAGATGCTTGCCTGCAAGTCCCAGGTTCTTTGCACTGCCCCTGGCTGCTTCTTACGGATCAGTGCAGGCTTTCTAGGCTCGAAAAGGTGCCTTCACCACTCCCAGCCCTGAAAATAAAGCCATTTCCTTATCGTAACTATCTACATATCAGAGGAGAGGAGGGGATTTAGTTGGTTACCTTCAAGGGGGATTTCAGAAATATATCGCACTGTGTCCCTCTGAAGAGATGAGCTATCTCCTGGTGTTTTCAGATTATAATTTTCAAGTGATGTAAAAATAATGCTAAGTCCCTTAGATCAGTGAGAGCAAGTATACCTCAAGGGTAAGCGTAATGAACTGGGAAAAGAAGTGTGCGGTATTTTGACAGACACTGATTTCCAAAGCACAGGTGCACACAGTGGCTAAAAATAGCATCGTGGCATCAAGTGTTAGTGAAAAATGTAGCCAGAAAACCCCCGAGATTTCTTTTCCAAAATCAGGCCTGGAGTAACTTAGAGGAATCTGGGGGGAGTTTAAAATGTGAATTTGTAAAAACCAGGTCAGCGCGTGTCTCCTAAAAGATTGTAATAATTGTATGCCCACACAAATTTTTTTTACAAAGCACCTTTTTAATCTGCTTCTTTTTTTTTTTTTTTTTTTTTTTTTTT